GCTAACCTTGTAATTTCTCTTTTATTGTCCATAATCTGCTCTTTCAATAGTTGGTTTTCAGTTGACAGGTGATCGTATCCCTCTTTCAGTCTTCCGAATCTCACGTCGAATTTCATTTCCATTTCTAAAAACCGCTTTTCCATGGCTTTTTTCAAGACTTTAACCATCACGTCTACCATAGCTTTTATTCCGCCCACCTCGTCTTTTATTATTTGTTTTAATTCAGTTTTGATTTCTAGCATTTCTTGCATAATGAGTTGAGATTCATCGCCACTGGAGTTTGAGAGTTCCGAGTGAAGTCTTTTCGTTGACTGAGATGTTTTCGAGTCATTACGCTCGTTTGTTTCTTTAGTTCCATTCATCATGGGGCGATGAACCATACACTGTACACATTAATAGTGCAGGTAGAATGTTGTTATTGTTAATGGAATCATGAATGTAACTGATGCGTAATATTTGTTTCTGAAAAAAAAAAAATGAAAAAAGTAAGGCGCAAAAAGGAAAAAAGTGGAATATGAGGCGAAAGGGGAAAATGGGCTCAAAAATATAGAGAAGAATGATGTTTATTGGGACATTTTTTTCAACCTTTAACTATCTGTTTACCAAATCAATATTGGTGTATCAGATTAATGTGATTAATGTAATGGAAAATTTCAATTACAGCGGCGTTAGAGAGATGATAAATACACTATAAAAAGAGAACAGGTCACCAACGAACGTGTGTACATATTTACGAACATTTCTTGTCTGTTGAAACACTCCTTTTTTTTCTGTAACGAAGATACATTTGAAGATTCATTTGGCATCATTTCTAGAAGCATTGTTGAATTGTTACGGCAAAAAGAGAAAAAGTATGAGAGTTGGTGTTTTCGTTTTTGAGATGAAGCAGTTTTGAAGATTGTATCACGTCAGAGGTAGGTGCGCAGCAAGCTGTCAGGAGAGGCGGAATCTTTTAAAAATTGAATGGAATTTAACTCGAAATTCGACAAATATCAGTTGGTAATAACAGTTTTAAATGTTTAAATAAAAATAAATAAATAAAAATCATCTCCATTAAAGTACTCACTGATCCTTAATAACAATGGAGATATCCCAGCAAACACAGAACGACATTGTAACGTTAGCATGACGTTTATGTGAATAAACAACATTATAGTAACGTTATGATGACGGCCTGTATGTGTCGGCTGGGATGCTCGTTTTAAAACAGTTGACAATGTCTCTCAGATTTTTCTAATACGTACACTTTGTGAAAATGTGCTTGAAGAAGAAAATTATTTTTCAGAAAGTATAATCCTAGAAATAGAAGCAGCAACATAATTTTAACATAACTGATTCCTCCCGTCTTCCAGTTATGATTTAGGGCAGTTTTACGCATCATCTCCTTCCCAATATACAAGTTTGTACATGCAGTTAAATATACAGCTGACCTTAAGTATTTTTACATCTAGGTCAGCGCAATGTCAACAATGGGCCCCATGATTTTTATTACTAGCACCCCTTCCACTACAGTAGCTGACCCCTCATCTACAATTGCCGCAGTCGATCCCAATGCCAATAACACGGTTCTCTCCATCGTCGTCGGTGTCCCTGTCGCATTGTTATTGGGTCTCCTCTTTGCCTTTGTTGTGGTCTTCGTTATAAGGCGCCGAAGAGCTAGTGCGACAAAAAAGACCTCATTGGAGACAGGAGATGATCACACATTCAACAATTTGTCACCAAAGAAGTCCATTGATGACGAAGTGATCGCTAACGCTATGAAAACGACAGGTCTTGAAACCAAGGGCGCTATCCCTGATTATCTGGATTTGGCCAACACTACACATCCGGTTTACTTGGACCTGACCAGCAGTCAGGATTCGCTGTATTTAGATTTGTCCAGCGAGTCCCATACTTATCTCGACTTAGGACCAAACGTGGCTTCAAAAACGGCCGCTGAAAACCTTGGAGGGGAATACATAGAGTTTCCCTCCACAGTCAAACTCCCAAGAGAAACCACCTTGGTGTACCAAAATGTTCAGCCCCACGGCTACGCCAATGTCGACATCCCAAACTCTGAGGTCACTTTTTGTCGAAGTGATATTCCAGAAATTCGAATTGAACAAGCTAAAGACTGCAAGGGTCCGGCTGCCCCGGATGCTAGTACCAGTGAAGCCACTTACCAAAACAATCTAAGTTAACTGTGAAGATGCTTTATTTTGCTATCTTAATAATAATAATAATAATAATATTTATTTCTTAAAACCGCACTACACTAGCGTCTCAGTGCTGTTTACAGGTAAAATTATTAGGATTACAACTTATTATATATATAATAAAAGCTAAGGTATTTTGCTCTGGTTTTCAAGCTGAATTCACTTGCTTCAAATATGAAGCACATATATATTTCGTTCTCTGAAAACCAAATGCTAGCTTTTTAATTTCAATAAAACGATGTGAAACCGATTTGCTACTTTGACAATAACTGCTTGTCAATTGTAGGTCTTATAATGTATCTAACACCCTTTTGTGATTGCATTGCTCTGGTTCATGTTACATAAATTGATATCATATTCCCTCCCGGAAACACCGCCAAATACTAGATCACACTGATGCCCTTGCTAATAACAATGACATTCATGGCATATTTGGGTAATAGTTTTTCAAGTGCAGACAATAAGACACGCCTTTATAAGTGTACACGTCTACCAGTTAGTACATTTCACATTTTCCGGCCTACCCAACTCTTCGCTTTTTATGATACAAAGACGCCGTTTTAATGGACATTTGGCATCACTCGCAGTAGGATTGTTGATTTGTACTGATATTTGAAAACTATTATGAAAGATGGCGCATTAGTTATGAGCACGGGCAGTAGGGAAGAGTTTGTATTACGTCAGAAGTGAGTGTATACACATGCAGCTGTTGCAATGAGGGTTTTAATTACTACGTGAATGAAATCTGAATCAAAATCTGACATATATTACTTACTTAATACTTTTAGTTATATGCATGGGACCAATAACTCTACGCTACAAGCACGGGAGGTAGGTGTGTTTCTTTTAAACAGCAGACAAAGTCGTTCGGCCTTTTTAACATGAATATCTTATAAGCGTGAAACGAAGTATTTTTCTTCAGTTCGGCTGATCAAAAGTCCCTCCTACGTTACCGGCTGGTAAAAATTGTATCCCTCTTACTTAGGGGCCGCATATTTAAAAAACAGTGTTGAGGTATTTCAATGGTAGCACTAAGTACATGTAGCACAAAGTTCTACTATAGCTACACTTATCGACAATGTACAAGATGATCGGTTGCCTAGTCGATGTTCTGTAAAAGTAAAATAAATCTCATGGTACCCTTAAACTAGTGAACATAAATGCAGTAGGGATGACAGTTTTTGATGGCATAGTATAAGTATATATATTTAACAGCAATAAGATAAACACAGCTACATGTAACAATTTGTACCTTTAGAACTAGGATAACAGCTACGGTGCAATGTCAAGCCGTGATGGTCCTGTTTTCATCACAGTCTCCCCTTCCACTACCGACGTTTATCCCTCAACTACACTAGCCGCAGTGGAGCCCAATGCCAATAGCTCGGATCTGTCCATCGTCGTCGGTTTCCCTGTCGCCATTTCTATGGGCCTCCTCTTTGCCTTTGTTGTGGTCTTTTTTATAAGGCGCCGGAGAGCTAGTGCGACAAAAAAGACCTCATTGGAGACAGGAGATGATCCCGCATTTAACAAATTGTCACCAAAGAAGTCCGTTATTGACAACATGATCACCGACGCTATGAACACGACAGGTCTTGAAACCAAGGGCGCTATCCCCGATTATCTGGATTTGGCCAACACAACACATCCGGTTTACTTGGACCTGACCGGCAAACAGGATCCGCTGTATTTAGATTTGTCCAGCGAGTCCTATACTTATCTCGACTTAGGACCAGACGTGGCTTCAAAATCGACCGCTGAAAACCTGGGAGGGGAATACATAGAGTTTCCCTCTACAGCCAAATCCTCAAAAGAAACCACCTCGCTGTACCAAAATGTTCAGACCTACGGCTACGCCAATGTCCACATCCCAACCTCTGAGGTCACTTTTTGTCGAAGTGATATTCCAGAAATTCGAATTGAGCAAGCTGAAGACTGCAAGGATCCGGCTGCTCCGGATGATAGCACAAGTAAAGCAACGTATCAAAATATCTAGGTTTGACTATGGGGGTTTTAACACAAGCATCTTTAAACTTATCGAATTTCTGTCGTTGAGCAATGGCTTGGAATCTATTCTTAAAAACGAATCAGAACTAAGATAACTGCCAATTTGATGTTTTTCTTTAACATGTAATAGTCATTTCATTTCAAAATGCTTTTTTGTGTATTTCGTGCATTGTGATGAGTCGCAGGGCTGAGAGATTGAATAAGATGAAATGATGGCAACAATAAGTAGAACAACAGCGTAAACAACCATATGGTGAACACCAAACACGTATTTGATAACAGATTCCTCTGCCAGCAAACAGCAGTATTCGATCCTGTGGATCGTGCACAGAATCCAGAAATTAAATTTTATCCACTCTTCCTACTAGACATCAATGTTACATTTAGAAAATTAAAGCACCTGTTCCCAAACGGCGTACATTGATTGGGCTCTTGTGTAAAGGGAGTTTCACAACACGCTAACGGCGATCACGTTCATCCAAGTATCACATCAACGCATTTTCATTACTAGATCGACGTTCACATGAAGACGAGGTGTTATGTATTACCAAGCACGAAGATGACAATTCAAGCCAACTATACAATATGTAGGCCTTAGCTACCACTTATTACAGGACTGTGAACAATTGGATTCGGCTTTTAAGAACTCATAATTCCATTCCATGAAAAATGTCAGATAACATCTTTTGATACCAATTTTCTAAATGAGCAACAAATAATAATAATAAAGGCACGTACATCTCGGCGTAAAACATATCGAATCGTACCAGTTGTAACATGTATTCTAAAAGACGCAAACACTTTTAAATAAGTTTTATTCAAGAAATCCGTTCAATGATTCGAAAGTCATCAAATTTGCTTTTTTATACAGAAACGATACTCATCTTGAACCGCAATACGACTTACTTGAGGACATTTCTTCTAAAGACAAATATGATGCGATTTCAAAACATCACACAAAAAAACCATTATAACAAACGAACATAGATTTATTGTACACCGTGTGATGTAAAAATTTAGATTAGGAATTCCATTTTGTCCTTAGTTGATACCGCTTATATCTAATTCAGATAAAACCGTTAAGAAATGCTTCTGGCACAATCCATGTTCTCATTTTAGCACAATTATAGAACCCAATCATTTGAGAGAACAGAAATCTAGGTTATTTTTCAAAGATGCCCGAATACGCTGAGAAACCATAGATGCTGTAGAAGCTGGGTAAATACAGTGAAAAAAAATTCGTATCAAAAACCCAATGTACATTATCAGAACTTCTCAAAGAATTATTAATATATATGGTAAAATTATTACGCTGCCCCCCCCCTCCCCACAGCTGGATAAATACGGTGAGAAAGATTTCATATCAAAAATCCAATTAAATTATTAGGTCTTTTCAGACACACATATATATATATAGTGATAATCATGTGTTACCCCCCCCCCTCCCCCCAAATTGGTTGCCACCCTGTCATGTAATAGAGCTATATGTACCAACGCCGAGATGGCAATTTAAAAGAAAATAGCGCTAATGTAACATTGTGAACACTTTCTGTAACCCTGACGATGCGACGATCTTTTTAACTTTGCTGTCGTCATCTCTTTGTTGTTCAGAGTCAAATAATCTGTCATTGTAATTTATTTCATACCTGCCTCCGCGAACGATTGAAAGAACAGCGAAATTTGACAAAGTCAAACGCAAATCTTTTTATACAATACCAATACAATATGTTAAACATGTTTGATTGGCTTTCCTTTCAAATCTTTTTGTTACTCTCCTCTTTGATATTTCGTCACTGTTCAGTCCTGTAAATAAGTGTTTTTTGACTTCATATTCACTTTTTATGATCATCATAGGACATTTACAAGCTTATTTATCCCTCACCCCATTTTTCAGTCAATTTTCATTATTGAAAATAAAAGGAGGGGAATGCAAGGTTGAATTATTTCAACAAAAATAAACTTTAAGCTTAGCTCCACATAATGTCAACTAGCACAATACCTAACACCATACAAAGTCCGCTTTTAACTTCCAACAGTTTTTTTTCAATATTTTAAGTCTTAGCCGGTGGCTCATCTGGCGCCATCACGGGCTCTTTCTCTTCCAGTGTCTTTAGCTCCATCAGCATAGACTTGTGTATTGGGTCGTCACTGGGGGCGTTGGTGAATAGACATCCCACGAAAACCCGGGTTCCCCACAGCGGGTGCGAGATCACCTTACAGCATCCAGCGTCATCAATGTCGAAACCGAAGTGTTTGTAGCGCTCGTCCGTCTCGAATAAAGTCGCGTTGGTGAAGTCTCCATAGTACTGAAAGAAAATTTGACCGGAATATTGAATATATATTTTTAAACAAAATACGACAGAAATATTCAATGCACATGTATAATTGGTATGTTTTAACTGAAATATTCATAAAATAAAGTTATTTTACTAACCAAGGTACCAAAATAAGTTGACCAGAGTACAGAACCTACATGTTATATAAATTCATCTTAGGTTCGACTGTAGTTTTCACGCGTTCACCTTGAAAATATTCCATCAGCATGTGCCTTTTAAATCCAAGTCCCCCTAGAGAGGCAGAGGGAGAGAGAAGCCTCATTCAGAACAGTGGACAAACTAGTCAGAGGGTCAAATATTCCCCATGGGGAATCTATTCAGTGTCTATTAGCGGATAAGACAGCAAACTTTTTAGTAGGTCGCCATATTTGACCCACGGACTAGTAAGTCCACCGTTCTGAATGCGGAGAGAGAAAGAGAGAGAGAGAGAGAATTATCTTTATACTTAGGAACACTTCATAGTTCACTCACTGGTCTCCCACTGGAAGGGTCAATGAAGTCTGCCCAGTAACCCTTCCCCTTTAGAGCCTCGCACATCACCTGGGCCAAGTCATGGAACTGAAAAATCAAATAAAATAAATACACTACCTTAATGAGATGTTATAATATCAACCCCATGCCTTATCTTTACTCAAGGTTGCTGGGACCATACTGAAAATGTTCTACTAAACACTGTTGCTTATTACCATTACACTACATAATGCTCCTCTGTCCTTCATCCTCACAAATGCTAACAATGCATTCTCTCTCAATGTTCTACAGTCTTATATGCCCAGTTTAATCCATAATCTTAATCACCCCCCAAGGATCCTTTCTGAAATAACCACACTATCACCTCCCCCCCTTGAAGCTTCCTTTCTGAAATAGCCACACTATCACCTCCCCCTTGAAGCTTCCTTTCTGAAATAACCACACTATCACCCCCCCCCCCTTGAAGCTTCCTTTCTGAAATAACCACACTATCACCCCCCCCCCCCCTTGAAGCTTCCTTTCTGAAATAACCACACTATCACCCCCCCCCCTTGAAGCTTCCTTTCTGAAATAGCCATACTATCACCTCCCCCTTGAAGCTTCCTTTCTGAAATAACCACACTATCACCCCCCCCCCTTGAAGCTTCCTTTCTGAAATAATCACACTGAGTCCCTTATCACTCTTCACTTTCAGTTCTTCATCAAAGTCATTTAATATAATACCCATGAGGCCATTCAGAATGAGAAGAGCCGAATGCTAGCTAGGCCACGACCTAAATATGGTGGACCTACATAAAAGGAAGACTGCTTCAACCTGTAATGGTCTCTCCACCTCTCGCATGGCTCCCCACGCATTGTCCCTCGACCTGTTGAATTGAGCCAAGATTTAATTACTGTGCCTCTACAGGGACAATGCGTGGGGAGGCATTAAAGAGGCGGAGAGGCCATTACAGGATTAAGCAGTCTTCCTTTCATGTAGGTTCACCAGATTTAGGTCAAGGAGCAGCTAGCACAAAGCTCTTCTCATTCTGAATGGTCTCAACGTCTTCCCCTCGAGTACCCCCACCCCTCCGCAATTTTTCACAATTTCTGATACCTGATCCAGTAATTCTTCCCTCTCCTCTTCAACGTCTTCATTATATGCACTCATGTCATTCTCCGTCTTCAAAGTAATGGTCACTGCAGTAAACGGTCCCTCCTGCAAATTCTTGCCCGGGAACAAGTCCACGAAGTCTTTAAAAAGTTGGGGAAAAAATTGTACACATTTGTATTTTCTTCAGTACACATGCTTTTTATGGCTCAGTTTGAAGTTTTAAAGACAAATAAATAAATAAATAAATTAATTAATTAATAAAAATAAAACAATTATGACACAGTATACCTTAACTACTTTTACAAAGTCTGAATGTTACAGTATAAATGTTTAAAACGAAAGGCAACCTGAAAATACACATCATTTGGGGAACTACTGCTTCACGGACTAAGAGCAGGTGACAGAACACTGGTGCATTCCAATTAACTTTTATATTAAGGCACTTATTTTATTCCTATTTGAGAAATGCATGCAGTTGTACTTATTATCATATATGTGTGCATTGTAATTTTTTTTTTACAACTTCATTTACAATTCACTCACTCTGGCAAATTCAAGGTAGAAAATTACTTTAAAAAATACTTTACATTGAAAAAAAAACCTTCCATGCTTTAAAAAATCTCACTAGCATTTACTATTTCATACCTTTGGTTGGGACAGTCATGTACTTCACACTCAAACTTGGGCAGTGAAGTGGACGACATATCGTAGCCTTCATACTCGCTGTCATAGAGGTCGTCTTCTTTCTCAAACCTCTCCTCCAACTGACTTATGTACTTCTCCTGCAAAGCGTAAGGAGGTGTAATTATTATTAGTGGTAGAAGTAGTGGTAGTAGTGGTTGTAGCTGTTACAGTAGTAGTATCATTAGCAGTAATAGCAGCAGTAGCAGAGAATGCATATTGCACTCGTTTTACACCCAAAACTATGTTACATGTTTTAACATTAAAACGGTCCTTTGCAGATCCATCCAGGGTCAACATAGGTCTAATACAAAAATCCACTTCCTTTCTAAATTTTCTGATAAAGTATTCTTACATTCTGTGTCAAGAACTTTTTCAAAAAAATCTTACAGGACAAAGCAACACTGTGGCCAGCGTGGGCTCAAATGTTCAACATTTTACTGGGCCAGGTTTCCATTTTACAGGCATTTGGGGACAACCCAGTGTTAAAATCGCAGTCTGTCAGCAATATACACTGTAGCCTCAAATTGTTCTCAATTTTTGACTGCCAATTACTATCACAATTTTTAAAACATTATTTTGCTTTTGAATACAAACTATTCTTATATGTCTTTTTATTTTGTTTTTATGCTAATCCTCTTATCTTCAATTGTTAAAATAATCGTCTTCAATTTAACTCAGTAAACTATCATCAAGTCAAAAAACAACTTAGTCAAAACATACTCTGGGGTAGTGCTAACACTCGCCAAATTAGCCAAATGCTAAAACTGACTTGAATTGGCTAAACAAAAAGGGCTTGATTTGACTAATTTTAGCCGAATTCAGACCATTTAGATAACAAATTGACAAAAAAGAGGTGATTTGGCTAAGCGAAAAAAATTGCTAGCGCTACCACAAAAACTATTATATATATAAGTGTGTACATTTTTTAGTCAGAAGTCTGCTATTATTGTAACCTGTAACATTACATAAATAATTTAAAATAACTATTGCTACCTGTGGTATGTTATATTATTATATAATATAATATAATCATATAACTGTATCTGTACATTTTCTGCAGAAGCTACTGGTGCAAGAGTTACAATTAACATTTCATTTTTTTTTTCCAAAAATTTATTTACTGTACTTATTTATTTCCACAAAGACCTACCATCATATGCTGCTGCGCCCTGTGTAGCTTTTCCATCTCCAGTGTTGATGGGAGTTTGTCTCCACGGTGACCGATGCTCAGACCATGGAGACCGCCCTGTAAGACGGTTCTCATTATCGTAAGACCCTCCGGCTGAAAGAAATGATGAAGTGGTTAAAGGGATAACAACTGTTCATTTGGCCCCAAAAAATGTATTTTCCTAGGGTAAAGGTCTTAGGACAATATTCCTAAACTTTAGAATGGTTAATGAATTCATTCAGTTTGGTTTTTTGTAATATTCTCATAAAGGATTATTACTGAGTGTAGCCATCTATGGAGGTCACATGATATGATGGCAAGCACACATTTCAGAATAATTGCGTAGTAACTGTGCTTTTTCTCTAATGCTTTAAGTAACTTATGATTTACACAGTAGTTTGAATCCTTTGCTTAGCCACGGTAGTTTTCTGATATCATCTCGCAAGGAGGTGAGATTTTATGTATTATTTAGTAGTTAAAACAGTTAATGAAAACTTATGTAATTGCTACAAGTCTTAATTATAAGGTAACTGAAGGATTATTTCTTAAAATATTTTATCTTTCAATTATTTAAGTATTTGCATATCTGTGTGCCAAAGACATGCAATAAATTGATTAAAAAAGTATGAAAGAAGTTGCTTATTCACCCCAGTATTGGTGTACCAAAGACAAGCAATAACTTTATCAGAAAAAGTATGAAAGAAGTTGCTAATTCACCCCAGTGAGTGGTATGAGCCTGGCCCTGGCCTCCTGTGGGTTGACACCCAGCTCCTCCAAGTTGACCCCCGTGAACCCTGGCAGCGGGAACTGAGGGCTGTCTGCAAATGGACCAAGTGCCATGTCAGGCCACAGCACTGGGTCACCTGGTGATGGAAAATAAACAAATGAACAAACAAACAAACAAATAAATAAATACTAACAAACTACTAGAATCAATACATAAATAAATAAAATAATCAAGCTGATAAAATTTTCAATATATAATAATTATGGAAATGGGAATCATCCAAATAACCCAGTCTTGCAACTTGAGCAAAATCAAGCGAGATTTTGAGAAATTTGGAGTGATGTGGATGGGATAGCGCTAACACTCGCCAATTTAGCCAAATGCTAAAACTGACTCAAATTGGCTAATAAAAAGGGCTTGATTTAACATGTTTTAGCCAAATTATATCCATTTTGGTAACAAATTGACAAAAATGGGGTGATTTGGCTAAGCGAAAAAAATTGCTAGCGCTACCCCAGTGTGGGATAAGAAATAATGGCAGACTAGCAAAATTCATCCACGCCTATACATCTACAAGTAATTATGAGTAACACACAGCCTGTGCCTAGAATTACTTAAATATTTTACTGGCCCTTGAACCCACCCCAGGATCTAAGAATGTACTCTACTGGTCTAATTTAAAAACAGAAACAGTAACCAATAACTGAAACAAATGTGCACAATTTAAACTTAAACAGCAACAATTTCAGCAGCCTTTGACAGTGTTAATGACTGAGAGTACATTCCCATAGATTTTTAGGTCAATCTATCCCAGTGGGGATTGTTGTCAGCCTGAACGGCTTAAATGTCTGTCCCGCCTACTAAAAGCAGTAAGGGGGTGATTAACTTTTGTGCTCTCGGAACCTGACAGCAATTTAGCGTGAACCCCCAAGGAGTTAGGTCGATCCGGACAGATCGATCTAAATCTATGGGAACCCAGACTTAGACTGTGGACGTCTCACACCCACCATCTGGGCCAAAGGAAAGTCCATGGGTTTGGGTTTTGATCTTGGACTGCATGCTGCTAAATGCCTTCACATGTTTGATAGCACACTTGAAGTCTGGCAAGTATGTCACTAGCCGCTTCTTCGCTCCACATATGAGCTAGAAAGCAGAAATTACAACAGCTTTACTCTAATAACCACAGCTTACCATATCCAAGATGTACCAGTTCAAAGAATTATAATTTATAACCCACTTTTTTCTTTCATGCGTTTAAGTTTTTCTGTCTTTTAATCACAATATAGACCAGTAAATGTTGCCCATGGCAAGAAAAGTGCCTTAAAATTGAGTGAAAATTGCATAATGTGTGACAAAATAATGATCATTTTTTCTTTCTTTTACTTATTTTTGTTGAAATTTATATGAGCAATTCATGATTCAGTGACTGATTAGGGTGACTAGTAGTAGTTAATACCTTATTGAAGGAAGAACAGGGAATTGTTATCTAGTACACACCTTTTCATTTTGATTTTTTAAATCAATATGATCTATTTATCTATTAGCATTCTTCTTGGATGGTAAGATATAATGAAACATAGCAAGTTACAAATAAGTTTATCTATTTTAATTTATATTATCCTTATGTTACTTCATAAAAAATAGTTGTTAATAGCGTCATAATAACATTACATCCATATGAGAAAAAAAACACCTACCCTTGACGCCATTTCTTCGCTAATTCCAAATGTGACCAAAGTCACTCTTCTACCGTGCCTATTGTAAACATATACGAAATAGTACCAGCAAAATGAACATGTAGGGAAGGTTCGAGCAATGCTTCGCGAGTTGGGAGAGTTAATTTTTTTCACATGAAAATTCAATTTGGTCGGACACACCTGGATAGTACACCTTTACGAGAAAATCTAAGTTAGGTGTGGTATATTTAGGATCTAAAGCAAAAATATAAATACAGAAAAACAACCTTGAATTGATATTGAGGACGGTTGCTGTGATATGAGCTTCTACTTCAAGGTCGATTCGTGCTTAGGATCCTTCTAATAAATAATAATTAAATGTGCTACAGAAGTCATCAGAAAGTCTGGTTTCATTTAAACTCAAACATGACAGAAAAATTACCTTTGTATCGTATACCAACCAAATATTTTCTGTCGCTCACGAGTTATTACAGCAGATAAACTTTCAACGACGGTATCCCATAATTCCCTGTAACTAGGTCACAGAAACATAGGGACCTAGTAATAGTTCATTAATCAATTTTGTGTTGCGTATTACATTTCTATTAGTTTAAGCTGAAATTTTACTGAAGAAATAAGAATGCAATTTTGGTACAAATTTTTTCGTATTTCGCGAATGAATATCGAACTACTCAATTATGATGCATTCTAGAACTAACTTTTTACTATTCCCTGTGAAAAGAAACATGTCTGCGCCCATCAAAAGTTGATGCTTTCGAACATTTAGTGCGTCATTCAAAATTTGTCCCTCTTAAGGCGTTGTTGTTTAGCCTAACTTTATCAAGACATCTAAAAACAAAAGCATGGGATTGTATATGATATACCTAAACGGGAATATATGAATTCGAATTTAAAGAGGACATTCTTGCGGATTCTGCAGTTTACTGCCTGTTTTTCCACAGGAGCTGTCGTAAAATCCCAGTTTACTACGAGTAAAGCTTTTACATTTTCAATGGCAAATTTTCCGTCTTGTCACCGGTTAATACAGATTCATGGTGAAGACGACCGGAAGAATGACATTATTTTCTGTGGGGATATTCGAAATGCTGTCAGTCATATCATTTTCTTTGGAGGTGACGTTCAGGTAAGATAAATTTTTGGGGAAAGGTTACAACCGCAAGATAGCTTCGAACACAAAGAAAGCGAAATATTGCATTTTAGGGTCATTTAAGGACTGACAAAAAACGAGAAATAGTCTGTTTATTATTTATTTGTTTATTTATTTAGAGTACGTGTAGACTATAAAATAGTTTAGTTATTAAATACTGCAGTAATTATTTATTTATTATTTTGCCATTCTTTGCTTAGTAAAATTAATTAATTAGGGAATGTAATGTAGAATTAATTAGAGAAAATAATAGAGTATAGTATGACAATTTTTCCCTGGCAGGATTACCCTGAAAACATGCTGGCACACCGCGATAACAAACATCATATCAAGTGGAGCCTGGAAGCCACTGCCAAACTTCTCTACCAGAAACACCCAAACAGTGCTATATGGGTGATCAAACCAGCCAATATGTACATCAAGACATTCAGCTCCTTCTCAAATTTTGTGGATTGCAGTGAAATTGGCGTGCCCTCTCCTGAGCCCACGGATCATGGTGCTTTTCGACATCTTCAGAAATTGTTTCTCATGGGTGTTCTCCAGGCATACACAATACCAGCTGAGGAGACACACGCCACGTGTCCGAGTGACAACGCCTCCTCGGAACCCCACCCGGCAGCCACTACCCTTCCCATATCAGTAGTAGGGTTCAGTAAGGGTTGTGTAGTGCTGAACCAGCTTCTCTTTGAGCTCCAAGCTGCCAAGGCTGACCCAGAACTCGGCAAGTTTGTGAGTCAAGTGCAGAGTATGTATTGGCTGGATGGAGGGCACAATGGGGGGTCTAAAACCTGGGTCACAGACAGGACGATACTCTCGTCTCTGGTAGGGACAAACATCGAAGTTCATGTACATGTGACGCCATATCAGATAAATGACCCAATGAGAAAGTGGATAGGAAAAGAAGAAAAAAAGTTTGTGGAGGAACTGGAGAAGCTGGGAGTCAAGGTGAAAGAGACTGTCCATTTCAAAGATGAACCCAGGTCTATTGAGAATCATTTTAGAGTTCTCGAGGAGTTTGGGGGAAGAACTTGAGCCTCTAAGTGGCTACAGTATGCTTGGTTATTTCAGTGCTTGGCACATGGGAAGAGTTTTTTTTTTTTTTTTTTTTTGTAAATGTAGTGGAAATTCTTTGGATATTCTAATCTAACCCCCATTTTCACCCAGCTTTGAAAGCTTGTAGGATGTTTGTCTCACTCTCAGTATTGGTTGCAGGGGATGGCTGGGACCAGAGGCTGATTGTTGGTATATACTAGTACTGTCTTGCAACCATTTCCCCAGAAGTGCTTAACCATATTTCTGTTTTACTTTAAATTTACTGAGTGGCTGTTTGGTTTTAAAAAAATGAAGATTCATTTTCAATTTTAAAATGTGCATGTACAAGCTTAGCTGTCTAGTTATTTCTTTTCATCAACTGTGTCTTATTGATCTTTTCACAAAACAAAGAAATACAGAAGATCTACATAATACAGTAGTTACTGTGCTTGATGGCTTTGAAACTACAGTAGACTGGGGATACTGACTGGCAATACTGATCTGAAGAGTACAATAACTGTCATCACACTTTCATTCCACAAAAAAATAATATTTTACTCTGCCAATGTAAACAAGCATATACACTGTACACTGGCATGCCCATTAAAATGTAATACTCATTTATATGACAGGTCAACAAAAAATAATAAAAAAATTAAAAGAAAAGAAAAAGAAAAAAATCAACTGTCACGGTAGTCACTGTTCATTTTTTCTCTAGATTAGTAATACGTATAGATGTCAATATTTCACCTGCAGTATATGCTTAGTGTGGGTATATATGCAGAGTACCCTGGTGAAGGATAGCACTGCCAAGAATAAATCACTTAAAGGGATAACAACTCTTCCTACGAAATCTATGTTTCATGATAAATATATTGTAAACAACTCATACAAATATAAAATATATTACCACAAAAAACGGCAGTTAAAGCAATTATTCTGAAATCTGTGTTTGTCATCGGACCACGTGACCTCTATAGAAGGCTAAACTCTGCAATAATCTCTAAAGAGATTACTACAAAAAAAAAAAAAACTTTTTAGAAAAAAAAAAAAAAAACCTAGGGCTAAATTTGAATGTAGAAATGGATTCATTAACCATTGGTAAGTGTAAAAAATTGTTGTTAACCCCAGGAAAATTCATTTTTGACCAAAATAAACAGTTGTTATACTTTTAAACTATGAAAATCGAGCTGCAGTTGGACATTTTTATTACACACCATCCATTTGTTAAATGCGGTAAGGCATATACATGGATGTTAACAGAAGGACAGTATGAATAGATGGAATAGGTAAAATATGTATGTTTTTTTTTTTTTCACTCAATTTTCAAATTTTGATTCATGTATTTATATTAGATATGAATGTTTCTTTTCTAAACAGTCCACAAGCTGTGCAACGTTAAATTATTTCTGACTCAAATCCTACAGTTTTGTGCAATCTAGGGGAGAAAATGAGTTTTGAGATGCCATTTGAATAATGAGCAAATAGTCATATATATTTGTCTGCAATATTTATTTATAACTCTTCTTGAAAACCTTATTAGAAATCAAAAACCGACAATGCTACTATGTTTATTCGAGGATAGGCCCTACTGTAGACCTAGATGGCGGCGTTCCTAGGCAAACTGACATTTAACGGTTACAGGTACTTTGATCTTACATTGAAACGTATCAAAATTAAGCCATCCGGTTGAGTTAAAAAAAAACTATTTATGTTTTGCTTCATTTCATTGTTAGAGAATAACCATTAATTTGGGGGCGTCTCGATAGTCCGAAGGTCATTGGTCCGAAGGTTCATTGGTCCGAAAAACGGTAACATTTTCATCGTTTTTTTTTTTTTTTTTTTTGATCAAGGGTTCATTGGTCCAAAGGTTCTGTAGTGAACATTCGGACTATTGAACCTTCGGACTATTGCTACGGCCCCATTAATTTTATGAGCTGTAACGTCTTGTAAAACATTCCAAGTCCAATTTTTGACGAGTGTCGACCGCGCGGTTTCGGGCTGCTATCAATAGTCGGCAAAACTAAATGTTTACGGCGAAATACACTTAAATGGATATAGCCTCAGCTAAATAGCATTTGTTAAGCCAACCACCTGAATTTGGGTTATTAAATATTTCAGTTTTTTTTGTGAAACGGGCCCCGGACAGGCCCATAGTGACCTTTTTCATGGCGTATCAAATTGAAGTCATCCCAGTTCACAATAACCACCGATTTGACAAAGCAAAGTCAGCCTTTGACATTGGTCCACTTTTCGGACACGATGGTTCTGTTATGCTCCTTGTTGACTGAATACCCGATCATTTTCCACCCCTTTCCAAGCAAAAATTCTCCGAGTTCCGGTCGCGTCAAATCTTCATAGAGTCGTATTGCGACGTATCCTCTTCCATAGTTCAGTATTTTAGAGTGCTGATCATAGTAATCGGAGTGGATCCCTTCGTAATTATCCGGGTCTGCAAGATAGGCCTCTATCAACTGCTTGTGGGTGTGGTGTCGAATTGGCATCATTTTCAACAGGTCAATATGGCCACACACCGTCAGTTCTCTATGGCAACCGATGACGTCAAGAACGCGCGGCACTTGAAGGGGGCTCGGTTCGCGTTGGCGGTGGGATCTTTGGGAAGTTGTTGGCGCGCAATCAGATGCACTGGATCTGTAATAACGTAAAATAATCGGGCTTTACATTCAAGATTAACCTCGTTTTTCAAAATTGTTGGTGATGTTGGCCTATAGCACAGTGCTCGGTAAATATTCGGGGAAGCCTGATTCAGAAGCCTACATGTGCTCTACACCGTTTACTGTAGGCCTACAATAGATTCGATTTCAAGACTATATAGGCCTAGAACTTGATATTTTTTTCTCACGACAGCAGTAGGCAGTTTGTCAGGAACTCATATATTTGTATCATGATCATGGCTACTACAGTAGCCTAATAGTACAGATATGAATTTTATAGCTTTTGTGAGTATGAAACTGGTTGAACATGGGCACTTCGTCGGAATGATGTGGAGGTTGTAGAGGGTGACCTATTTTATAATTTGATTAAAGACCTGTAATGTACGTTTAGCTTTCAAAAAATTATTAATTCAGACTGCAATAGGCATACCTTCACGTTTTACAGTGACCTAGATATTTAGACAAAGTGCACATATTGCATCTCATGATTATGTCAGTGAAACTAGTCTTTGTTTGGTGTGTCTTAGGGTGACTAGGATGGCCTAAGAACGTACATTAGAAGCTAATGTGAGTGGGTGAGGGTGGGGATAGAGAGTTTACCATCACGATATTTCGGATATTCATGCTTTCTTAAAAAAGACCAGGAACCTGTTGCAGGCCCGTAGCCAGGAAGGGTTCGGGGGGTTCGAAAGAACCGCCCCTTTTGCTGGGAAAAGGTCCACTTTGGGTAAAATTGGATCTAGGTACATGAAGTTTTTATGGGAAAAGGTCCACTTTTTCAAAAAAAGAACCCCCCTTTTGAAATTTCTGGCTACGGACCTGTATTGTGCATGCGTTCGAGGTGAATAAAGTGTGTCAAAGGTAACCACATACCTGTGTTTCCAAAAAGCGAACGACATCATAAAGCAAGTTTGACTGTCGTTGGAATTCAATCTACCAACCAACCAATGTTTGCGTCAAACTCCTTTAAGTGTAGTATAAACCTGACAATATTCTCCGTCCGCGATCTCTGAATTTTGTGTTATTGTGGTTTTATCACTACTGAACTCCCTTCGGCAAAATAGGTTTTATGTGCAGGGTGCATAGAAATAATTTGGAAATAATTTATGAACCACGACTCAAAGTCCCCTCCCTCAGAAGAAAAAAATGATTCCCAACAGAAAACGAAATTTTTTTTTTGAAGTATGATTGCTTTCTTTCGAAGTTGAGACATTTTATATAGAACATAAAAACTGGATAATGCCTAACGTTCCGAGCTTCCGATCAACACGGCAATATGTCCGCTGGCAAAGATAGCCAACGGCGTTTTATGACACACGGAAACCTTGGCTTGACATACAAAACATATTAAAACATCGCTGTCATGATAATGAATATATATTCTCAACGATGGCGTCTGAAAAGGGACGTGGGAAAAAAGAATTATTCATCGAAAACATGAGATAGGTAAATAAGAAATCAATGTTTGGGAAGTTTGGCAACCGATTGGAAAGTGGTTTGAATAACATCAGTGATTTTGTGCTCAGCCAGTGATTTTTACTGGACAAAGTCGTCACGTACTACATGTTGAAAAAAGTTAAGCTTTTCTAAGAAATATTTTATCATTTCAAAAGAAAATGAAAAACAAGTTTCTCCTAATATTTGGTGATATCAACGTATATACGTTTAAACATGCGCTTCTGTATTTCTCTCTTTTTTGAGTGAAAACAAAACACAAGATCAGCATTACCATTTAATGTATTCTGTATTAGGCGTGTAACACTACATGGTGCTAAAAATAACAGCATAAAGCAGAGGGAATCTTACGAAAAAAAAACACTGCAAACTGTATATGGCATTTGTTGCCTTAAAGCACTACATTAACATGCAAAGTTCACTTCTGTTTTTCTTCATCGCCAGTTTATAAAGATTTTTTCCGGGTATTGGCATCTTTAATTTTTAATTTCATTTAAGCCGTAATTCATAGAATTAAGATAAGTAATAGCATGACTACAAAGGGGTAATTGAATGGAAAGAAGCTTGAATCGAAACATAAAAGCACTTTACATTTGTATTTGGATGACAACACATTTTTTCTAAACACATTTTGAAAAAATGAAATCAGAGATGCATAAAGGCAATAGGCTAAAAGCCGAAAAGCGAAAATCGCACTCGTTAAAGATACGTCAGTACTTATCATGACTTTTAAAAATCATCTCAGCAGTCAATTTACTTAAAACCAAAAGCCCCGGATGGACAACCAACGTGGCAGTTGTAAGACTTCTTGTAACGAACCTCGTACACCCCGAAGCATTTGTTCACGAAGAAAGAGCGCTTGTCATTGGACAATCCGTGAGACCCCCCGCGTTCACACCTCCTACAGAGAGGGCGAATGGAGTAGTACTGCATTCCTTTGCCGAGGCGGCCGCAAGACTTTCTCTTTTTGCTGCCACAAGGGACGGTGCACTTGAAGGTGTCGACGCGGCAGATCTTTTTGTTGCAACCTAAAAGGCAAAAATTGTTGATTAATCTTTTTCAGTCCAACTGAAAATCAAATTCCCCGTATGATTCGCTTGCAATGAGCAGCGGGCAAAAACAATGAAAATTGTTAAAAATGGTTGAAGTTCCATGTCAGTTGAAAAAGAAAAGAAAATACATGTGATTTCCTGAGTCTTCTGGATGACGTCAACTCGTGCGCACACACCAACAGTTTGTTAACCACTGAAATGATATAGACCCTACTTTGGATCCGATAGCTATCATCATCAGAAAAAAAGAGAAAAAAATCCTTCAATCATCCTTCAATAAAAAAATGGATCTGGAAATATATACTATATCATAAACTCAGCGAAATCGAGATGCACGGACCAGAACGCGCCTGAACGCTTTGTTAACCCAGGGATAGGGTGAAGCAAAGAGTAAGCATACCTGATTCAGCGGGCCGCGGTTGCGCAGTGGGTTTAGAGATGATTGTGGTAGTTGTGCCTGAACTGGTTGTACTAGTTGTGCTGGGTGAGACTATTGTGCTGGTAGATGGTTGCGCTGCAATAAAAATGCGTAGATTTCCAATGGTAGTGGCACAGGATTTCTGTTTGTGCTATGAAGGGTTAACGAAAGTTTAAGAACAAATTGTATTTAAACCTTGTTTACAGAAGCAGATGAGCATGTTTTATGAATGAATTTAGATCCAAAAAGTTTTAATAATCTTAAAATATGTTATAATTTATTAACCATTCCCATTTTGCAATACATTTAGCTGCTAACGTTTTTCACATTAAGCAAATACTTTTTTATCTGTGGTACTTTTAATCTGGAGCGCCATTATACAAATCTAGCAAGACTAAAAAGCTGCTACCTGCCCCAAAGCAGCCGAAACGGACTTCCAAATACTTGTAAGTTCCGACACACGGGTCTCCGAACACGCCATTACTTGCTTTCACAGAGCAAGCGTTCCTCCCGTTACACAATGTGCTCATTTGTTTAAAGGATGTTGTAGCGTTGCAATGTGTGGTTTTGATGGATGGATGGGGGCATGCGTCGTCGCCAGGGCGCGTTCGACCATACAGGGCGTCCAAGACGGTTATTGAGAGCCCGCCTGGGCAGCGCATTTGAAGCGTCTTGGTCTCGCATACTCCGACAACGCGCGTGACTGAAGATAATAATAATGTGTATAGAATGCCTAGATAAAGTGAGTTATGAAAAGAGATGAAAGTATTTATTGCACACTCCATAACAAAACGAATGTCAAAAATAGAAATAGTTCAATAACTGAAACCTACCTTCTCTCTCTCTCTCTCTCTCTCTCTCTCTCTCTCTCTCTCTCACACACACACAAACACACACACACACACACACACACACACACAAACACACACACAGACAGACGCACACAATGAAAGGGTTTTTAATGTAGCCTTTAAGCTCAATAATAAGATTAATTATTTTTCAAGAGAAAAAAAGGTTTTAAGTTTTAGAAAAGACAAAAAATAAAGACTTTACCTCGAAATTAGGTTAGCTCATTTACATTTATGATTAAAGAGATGACTATCAAATGTATATTTTTTATGATGTGAAATGTTGATACCTGCAGCAGTTCTAGACTGGGGTTGGTCCGTTTCCTCTAGGTCCACGTCAAGTCCTCTTACGTCTTTTCCGGATTCTTCATCCTCAACTTCCTCTTCATTGCTACTAACTAACGTCGAGTCTTCCTCTATTTCTGGATCCATGTCTCCATCGAAAGGGAGTCCTCCTGTCATATCTGAAAAAATATTAATAATAAGTGAAGAAAAATTGATGGATGAAAATTTGCGGAGGTTTGGTGAAACATAGAAACGTTTTTGTTAATTTCATATTATTATATTTAAATTTATGTACGTTTTTAATTTCATTTGAATAAATATAGCCTATATCTCAAACCATTTATTTATATATATCTACTTAGTTTTTTTTTTTTTTTTTTTTTTTGCTGGAGTTACTTCTCCCGTTACGATTTTAATATGTCTTTTCCAAGTGCCAGATGAAAGTTCATCATGCAATCATTTACCTGGTTAAGGCCAATTAATAACAAGCGTTGTGAAAAGTAACTTTAATTATAACCGAAGTTTTAGTTTTTGGAACGAACGGTCACTTGAAATATTACGACTAACGTTCAAATGTGAATACTGAATTAAGCTAAAATGCGTGACGTGATCGATTTCTTGTTCATACGAAGTCCAAAATTAGGCAGCCTTTGCCAGTTGAGAATCTAATTCTGATTGTAAATAATTAGAAATTTATTCCATGCCTCACCTCTTGTCTCATCTTCAATCAGTCTGCTTAACTCTTCCACGCTGACCTCGGAGGTTGCGGCGACCACTAGGAGCAGCATCGTCGCTGCCATCCAAAGATAGAAACGTACCAAACTCATGATGATTCAAGATCGATGGCAATTCAAATCGAATTAGAATTATTTCGACGCTTGGTGAAATTTTCGGTGTGCTTCAGCAGAATCAAAAACCTGCCTTGTTCAGATCACCGGCGGCTTCTCCAGGTCTGAATGCAAAGGCCCTGAGTTGACGAGTTTTATAAAGCTTTCCATCTCTTAAGTATGCGGGGGTGGGCTATAAACAATGTCTTGGTCCCTCTGTCAAAATTTCGATTGTTTTATTATGCTGTTGATTAATAGTCCTCAGACATCATAAATACATCCATTTCATTTTGAGTGCATTTTAAATTCTCACACTACAAGAGAAGATATTCAATTAGTAAAAACAGAATCAACTTTCATTTGTCGATAAAATTAGGCCTATACATTGCGCGATGACAGAGGACAACCGTAGTCTTCTTAAAAGAAATAAGTATTATTTTGAAAACAAAAGTCATGTCTCTTTTATATATATTCCATTTAATTGGACAGTTATCCAGTAAATCTAGTATCGAGATGGACAAATAATTGACCTAATAGTTTAGACCAGTTTTTGAGCTGTAGCCATTTTCAGAGACAGCCCAGATAATAACTCTCATCTTTTCTATTAGCTGGCAAACATTCAAAAGGGTCGTAAGGTTAAAGGGCGTAGTATTTACCCGGACCCACAAGCTGCCAGTTTACCGAAATATAGATTTGCTCCCCAGTCATTTGAAGTGTTTTCCGTCTGGGTCTATACGTGTTTCAGGGACGATTTTACCTTGTGGTTTTTCGGCCAGAGCACGTTCAGGTGGCGTCCCCTCCCTTTACTGTAAATATAATATTTATTTATGTCAGGGTTGTGGGGTAAAATTTACGACCTGGGCTCCATAACTCGAAAGCATCGCGCACTGCGCAAGCGTTCCTATTCCATAACTCGCCTATACTCGCCCCATATAATACATTGAAGCCTCTATGTGATATTGCTATTCGCAATACGCGATGCTTTCGAGTTACGGGGCCCAGGGCTCGAAAGCATCGNTCAATTAATAACAAGCGTTGTGAAAAGTAACTTTAATTTTAACCGAAGTTTTAGTTTTTGGAACGAACGGTCACTTGAAATATTACGATTAACGTTCAAATGTGAATACTGAATTAAGCTAAAATGCGTGACGTGATCGATTTCTTGTTCATACGAAGTCCAAAATTAGGCAGCCTTTGCCAGTTGAGAATCTAATTCTGATTGTAAATAATTAGAACTTTATTCCATGCCTCACCTCTTGTCTCATCTTCAATCAGTCTGCTTAACTCTTCCACGCTGACCTCGGAGGTTGCGGCGACCACTAGGAGCAGCATCGTCGCTGCCATCCAAAGATAGAAACGTACCAAACTCATGATGATTCAATATCGTTGGCAATTCAAATCGAATTAGAATATATTATTTCGACGCTTGGTAAAATTTTCGGTGTGCTTCAGCAGAATCAAAAACCTGCCTTGTTCAGATCGCCGGCGGCTTTTCCAGGTCTGAATGCAAAGGCCCTGAGTTGACGAGTTTTATAAAGCTTTCCATCTCTTAAGTATGCGGGGGTGGGCTATAAACAATGTCTTGGTCCCTCTGTCAAAATTTCGATTGTTTTATTATGCTGTTGATTAATAGTCCTCAGACATCATAAACACATCCATTTCATTTTGAGTGCATTTTAAATTCTCACACTACAAGAGAAGATATTCAATTAGTAAAAACAGAATCAACTTTCATTTGTCGATAAAATTAGGCCTATACATTGCGCGATGACAGAGGACAACCGTAGTCTTCTTAAAATAAGAAGTATTATTTTGAAAACAAAAGTCATGTCTCTTTTATATATATTCCATTTAATTGGACAGTTATCCAGTAAATCTAGTATCGAGATGGACAAATAATTGACCTAATAGTTTAGACCAGTTTTTGAGCTGTAGCCATTTTCAGAGACAGCCCAGATAATAACTCTCATCTTTTCTATTAGCTGGCAAACATTCAAAAGGGTCGTGAGGTTAAAGGGCGTAGTATTTACCCGGACCCACAAGCTGCCAGTTTACCGAAATATAGATTTACTCCCCAGTCATTTGAAGTGTTTTCCGTCTGGGTCTATACGTGTTTCAGGGACGATTTTACCTTGTGGTTTTACGGCCAGAGCACGTTCAGGTGGCGTCCCCTCCCTTTACTGTAAATATAATATTTATTTATGTCAGGGTTGTGGGGTAAAATTTACGACCTGGGCTCCATAACTCGAAAGCATCGCGAACTGCGCAAGCGTTCCTATTCCATAACTCGCCTATACTCGCCCCATATAATACATTGAAGCCTCTATGTGATATTGCTATTCGCAATACGCGATGCTTTCGAGTTACGGGGCCCAGGGCTCGAAAGCATCGCGAAATGCGATAGCGATACCACCCCTCATTTCGATACTATTATTGGGGTGAGTAAATGCCGAGTTATGGAATAGAGACGCTTGCGCTTGGTCGCAATTCGCGATGTTTTCGAGTTACGGAGCTCTGATGGTTTGCGGGGTTGACGTGAACAGTGTGCTCGATGCGAGTTATTCTTCATATTAGTTTTGTTCCCATGTTGGTTATGTTAATTTGTTGCTTGGTCTACCCAGAGTTCCATTCGTCTGTCATTAGGCCCACTTATATTCTTTATTTCGGTGTTTCATTTTTTTCTTTTCTCAGCAACTTCCGTTCCATTATTCACCCAATCACATCACATGATGCTTCTGTTTTATCTTCAGTTTTTATTTAGTGTTATTCCTTTTCATACATCTGCAGATTAATTTTATGTGAGTATATAGGATTACCTGGGGCAGACAAAAGCCGAGTTCCGTTAAGAGAGAGAGAGGAAAAAGAAGATCAAGAAGTTGAGAGAGAAAAGGGGTGTTTTCATTTTGTATCAACTTTGATGGCTTTCAAGTTTGAGGCTTCCAAACAAAAACCAACAGATCTGTGGGTTTTTCTGATGCTCTAATATTCAAACACATTTTCTTTATATAAAAATATATATTTATTACAACAAAGAGTGCGGAGAAAATAAAGCAATTCTTGAATATTTCATGACATGTTTTTAGAAACATTTCAGTAATTACTACTTTCTGGTCGAGGACTCTTTTCCATTTTAAGCCAATATTGTATTCATACGACCACTCATTTGAAAAAGAGACATCTGCGAGGAAAGGTCATCCAAACAAAATCGACCTAGGCCTCGTCGTATATTTGTGAACTTACGCTCAGCGACATAATAACAAAGTAGTCGCCAAGTAACTTGCAATTATGATATACTAACATATGTATAGCAATTAGACTGCATATTTGACTACAGATTATTAAATATCAAGATATCATGGAATGTAATTCGTTTGTTACAACAGGACTAAGCCCCGTTCTGAGCATAATAACAAATATTCAATACAAATGTAGAAATAACATATGTAATCCCTTGTGAAAATCTATCTACCTACCCGCTGAAAACTACTGTTAAGTATGCATTTTCATTAGTCAAGATTTATTAAGCACAAGAACTATAGTTTAACCATTATATTATTATGCCGATGAAGGACTGAGGATGTGTAGGGAGAGGGAGGGGGAGTAACTGCGTTACTTTAGGTAGAGACTATAAATCAGCATCTCCAGACTTACTACCTGTAGACAGAGACTTTATTGGACAAACAATGTTGAGGGTGTGTAGAAAAAAAAAAGGGGGGGGGGGTCACTGCGCCATATCAACAGCTTCAGACCTATCACTTGAAGACAGTAACTTCATTGATTGGACAATAACACATGTATGCGTTAAGCTGTTGACTAGGTTACCAAAAAGAATGGGTGACGAGGGTGGCAGTTGGCTTGGGACCGTAGTCCGTTTTCCATTACGTTCTTGCAAATGACATTGGCCCCTTATACTATCATTGATATGGGACCCTGGAGTTTCTGTGTATTTTAAAAGAGAGGATCGGCCCCTCCTGGGTCCGGTCCGACCAATGACCTAAGAATATTTTTCTGTGTCTGAGTCGCATATTGTCTTCTAGCTAATGCGTCCGGAGAGCACGATAACTGCTAAGGCACGTGTATATATCAAAAAGGCATGCATATATATATAGTGGGACATAATTTCCTAATCTCGTGAGCGCTATAAATATACATTTACATATTATCACACCTTTGCTGATATGTTTATGTGTAGTGTAAGAAAAACATATTCCATAGCAATGAAACTATGCTGTAACGCTTATTTTATGCACTAACTGTGCGGCTACCAAAGGTCTCTTTTTTTCTATGGTGATACACGTATAAATTCTTTAAACCCATTCACCACTTCAATCAGTCTATTTTAATTTGTTTTAATTTGGTTTCTTTCTACATTCCTTCAAGAAAAAGTAGCCGGTATTAGCTAGCTCTGCTGACTTGACTAAATCGATTGCAGACAGAAACATTTTTTATGTCAGGTAAGAAATCGTTAATCTATTCCGTCCTGGGTTCTGGGAAAATGTGCTTTAAGCCACTCCAGGTAATAATATTATTCCTGGTATTGGAGTATTAACACAGCTATGAATACTATGCATGTGTACTAGACTTCGATATTGTTTGCAGAAATGGCAAAAGTATTTTATATCTCAAAACCCATCTCAGATGTATTGTGGCGACTTCTGAAAAGTAAGAAGCAGTTTTCTTTTTTCTCTATAGAAATGAACGCGCCAGCTAAATCGCAGTAGTAATTCTGTTTGAGTAAGGTGAAAGGTGTTCCGTTGCTTTTTTGCTATTTTATATGTCACGCGAAGTTTTGTTTCGCAACGTATGTTATCGATTTTGAGCACACAATACCTGCCAGACGCCAAACCAACCAAGAATAACGTTACTAAATAGAACAGCTACAGTCTGATAGCGTACTTGTAAAGTAAAATCTCATCCTTGACTTGTGCAATGCAGCAGCCGCTCAAGCTTTGTCTAGCATTTTCATTTTTCCCTTTTCTCCTTGCCAAATTGAAAAATAGGAATGTTTTTCTAAGCTTATCGTAAACACATAAAAATACACCCTACCTTTCTGTTTCTATGTTTTATATATCAAGCAAATAAGGCAATGCATTCTCCATTACCCCATGGTCTGTCGGACCATTAACCTATATCTAGAAATTTGAAATGCTTTTCAGAAAATAAAATCAGTATACATATCCAGTTAAATCACGCCTCTATAACTTTCGATAAAATGCGATGAAAATTCTAATTGCATAGACCAACTGGATAATGTAAGAAAACGTTTTTACAAAACTTAAAACAAAAACGACTCACATAAAGTTGAAACGACACTTTTTTCAAAATTAACAGCTCAAACAATTCTCTTCCTCCAAATATTGTTCTGTGCTTTTACAAAATCTATCAACATTTTGTGTCAACTGTAAGTTACATGTGGGACATCGTGTTAAGTGCCGTACAATATTATCACAATAATATAATTAAATTCCCATAAAACAATGCGTTAATTCTTCATACGAAATTCCCTTTGTATTATAATAGACACTCCCCTCTCATAAATAACATATTGTTCTGGAGCCAAAATGATTCTTTTTGATTAAATGTATTTTTCACTCCACGTTCTTAAAAAAAAAAAAAAAAACAACTGAACTCTTGGGTCACAATACATAATATATACTTCCCACAATAATAATCTCTTTCGTGTCCGCATTTCCCTTGGTCAACAAACAAAATAAGGGAAACGTCAACAACAGTCACCAAACGACTTCGACTACCTTCATATGACTTTTTTTACTGAGGACTCGAAGTTGGTGGCACGTAGGCGTTCTGATTCTGGGGTGCTACCCCTGGTGCTACCCCTGGATACGGGGGCGGGGCGTACGGGGGAGGCACATCGCCCTCCTTGCTAGGGTTGTAGGGGGGAGGCTGCGGAAAAGCTCCTCCTGGAGAGGCCGTGCTGCCATCTAGCGGCATCATGTTCCAGTTGGGTTGGGCCCATGCCTGCGGTTGTTGCGGGTAGCTGCCGTTAGGGGGCATGTAATAGCCGGCAGAGTACTGGTTAGTTTGGAGGGCACCCGCTGGGGCTGAAGTGAAAATATATATGGCAATAAGCACTTGTTATAATTATTCTATAACTTTTATATACTATGTTGTTTTATTAAACTATTTATGACAATTGCAATGAGAACTTTTTTATGATGATAATAAAATAATCATTAAATGTTTAAATGTTTTAAACTAATCATACCTTATATTGACTAAACATTTATGACATTAGTAGGAGTAATATGATGGATATGTGTGTGCATGGCTTCTCAAAATATGAGTTGAAATCCCCAGCCACTTAATCAGGCGGTAAATTACATATATGTGTCATTCCACAATAGATTGAACAGTTTGATCACGTCAGTCACGCACGCATTTCCCACAATATTTTCATAATTGTTCAGTATCCCTTTTATGTGCTGTTGATTTCTTTCCAGATATGAGGATACTACAGAACAGAATGAAGAACGAAAAAAAATGGGACAAGTCAAAATTATCCAAATATTATATAAAATGCGTGCCTCACCGACTTAACTCAATGTTCACTTTTGTGTGGAAAGACCCATGTAAACAAGGGAATTAGTCTGATGTAAATGTTTATATTTGCCAGAACGACTCATTAATATAAGTCATGCGAAGATGTGATTTAGGGTGTTAACAATTGAAAAACCTGTACCTATAGACCATTGAATATCTTACTGCATATAGGCTTATAGTATTAAAGGAAATGCTAAATTGATTGGCAAGCGCATTAAATGAACTACCTTTAAAAGATATCTACAGTTACGTACAAAACTATCTAGGCGTAATTCCTATTTAATTGCTGTGGAGCGGTCTGATGGTCCCAAATGCCGATAAATTATTACCTCATGTGCGCGCGTGCTCCTTTAGGGTTGCGAATGTTTCCTAGTACAAGTTACTGTACAATATGAGTGTATATCAATCTTTCAGTTGACAGAATATTGAAGCTTTGGACTGGTTGTGTTGCTGATGACACGTAGCGCCAACCATGAGCACATTAAAATTAATCGAATAATAACGTGCGTAGGTCTTTGCATGTATACGTGCCTGTTGTCTGAACAGTTTTTTTTCTTTTTTTTATGGCAATTTCCAATAGTTCATCATCGTAGTTTTTTTATTGGTCAATATTTAACGGAGCGTGCGTGTTGCAAACTCTAAATGCATGTTAGACCTTTATGCAGAAAACAGTAATGATAATAATACTTTTTTCCTGGAAATGCCAGCACCTTTGTCTTAATTACCAAGGTAAAAATCTATATATAATCCAGATTTCCGTTTTTTAACCGTTGCAAGTTGAATTCACTAGTTGATCTTCATGACGAGAGAATGACTGGGAAGTCTATACACATACTTAAAATATTTGCTTTGTAAAGAAGCAGAATTTGTTATTTACAAGGCATCCGTGTAGGAGATTTTTGAATATAGTATCTTTAAAAATCTTTTATGGATGGATTCATTTTTTTTTTCGGCTTGGCACCTGGCAAGTCAATGATGCAACACATGCACAGCATATTCTAGGATAGGTCTTACATCAGAGATGTATATTTTCAGTATCTCATGAGGCGAGAACCGCACTCTCTTTAAAATTCTTGTTAGCTTTTGTGTAAATGTTATTGACAAGGGCTTTTCAATTCAAATCCTGGCTTATAATAACAAGAACACGACAGAATCTATTTTGTCTATCTTACGGTCAACGCTGTCTTGTTAAACGTGAAGTCAGAGAGGCTTGTAGTGGTTTGTGTACGAGTTGTCGTTTCACAAGGAACCCAAAACTGGTTTTATTTTAAGCAGAGTGTATCAAGAATCGCGTCCGTTTAAGCTTCGTTCGAACGCCATTACGACACGCCCTTAGATACATTGCATAAAGCCGATTTTGCGCAGTTGACTATTCCAGTCTAGCAAACTTACGTTTACTACTTCCCCTTTACCCTAAAGGAGAGATTTATGTAAGTAAATAAATAAATGTTTCAACTAAGTAATAAAAATCTCAAATCCTCTTGTAAAACAACCCCGTGGTTATTTGACCGTAAATCTAAGAAGCGTTCACTTAGTTTTGTGTATAAGGGCTCTCTCACACTTAGCGTATAGAAGTTCGTATGAATGTCCCATGTGAAACCTACTGTTCGCACAATTTTTTTCAGCTGTAATTGCTTTGAACATGCTCAAAACGTTTATCTCCCTCAGCGAACACAAACGTACACAGACGTTTGCCTGCGTACAGAAGACGTATACGACCTAGGTCTAACGGCCCCCTTGCATTTGTCTGGGTATGGGGAATTTTTCTCATACGCTAGTGCTATACGCTAAGTGTGACATTACCTTAAGCAGTGTACTTACGGGTCACAACTGTGGCTTGTAGTTGTCGTTGTCTGTTTTGTCGACAGCAAGCTGCAGTGCACACAGAGATGCAGGAGATGAGGATAAAGACGCCAAACCTACAGAGAGAGAGAGAAAAGGAAAGATACAGACCTTTTGTAAGATGCGTTAAAGTATTATTAACTTCGATAGACTTAGGCAAGTTGATCTATCAAGGTGACGTAGCCAATGTGTTAAATTATTTTATCTAATTTCCTTATTTTCTTAAAAAGCTTGAGGTAAATCTTAAAGGGAAAATTATATGAAACCGATCAGCAGATGACTATCACTGCACGTTTCTTTCAAATGAACATATTCATGGAAATTAAACATAAAAATTAACACATTGTATATCCACCTCGATGCCAGTACCATTCAGAATCCCACGTATATATAGGGTCCTCCACGCGGGTTAGATAATGAACAATACCAGCAAAAAAGGCACATTCAAGACTGGTCGAAACAGTCTAAGTGACGTCATCGCTCATTGGCTTAGTAACCATGACGTCATTGAGACTTTTTCCACCTTGCTTAGATCAGCCTCACTGAGTTTTTGAGCCATGGCACAGCATTTTTCAATTCACGTGTGTTTTCATAGAACGTGGTAATTTTGCTTCATGTGAAGCACCGTGACGGATTGAATGCAAGATTTTCTGAAGTAGACTAAAGATATTCTGAGAAATGTCAAACGGTATCCTCATTAACAGATACTTGCGAAATACTGTGAAGTGGCTCTTCCTCAGTCGTTATATATGTGCTTGTGTGTTTTACGTGCAGCACGCTATTTTCTATGCTGTTCATGGAGACATCCAAGTAAAATATGAACGCCTCATTTCATCCAAACAAAGCGGACAGCACAACATTTGGACGCCAAGGCAATCTCACCTTTGAAAGCCATCTCGTCAAAATATTATTCACAAAAAAAAAAAAAAAAAAAAAAAAAAAANATTAACCTATATCTAGAAATTTGAAATGCTTTTCAGAAAATAAAATCAGTATACATATCCAGTTAAATCACGCCTCTATAACTTTCGATAAAATGTGATGAAAATTCTAATTGCATAGACCAACTGGATAATGTAAGAAAAAGTTTTTACAAAACTTAAAACAAAAACGACTCACATAAAGTTGAAACGACACTTTTTCAAAATTAACAGCTCAAACAATTCTCTTCCTCCAAATATTGTTCTGTGCTTTTACAAAATCTATCAACATTTTGTGTCAACTGTAAGTTACATGTGGGACATCGTGTTAAGTGCCGTACAATATTATCACAATAATATAATTAAATTCCCATAAAAAAATGCGTTAATTCTTCATACGAAATTCCCTTTGTACCATAATAGACACTCCCCTCTCATAAATAACATATTGTTCTGGCGCCAAAATGATTCTTTTTGATTCAATGTATTTTTCACTCCACGTTATTAAAAAAAATAATTAAAAAAAACCTGAACTCTTGGGTCACAATACATAATATATACTTTCCACAATAATAATCTCTTTCGTGTCCGCATTTCCCTTGGTCAACAAACAAAATAAGGGAAACGTCAACAACAGTCACCAAACGACTTCGACTACCTTCATATGCCCTTATTACTGAGGACTCGAAGTTGGTGGCACGTAGGCGTTCTGATTCTGGGGTGCTACCCCTGGTGCTACCCCTGGGTACGGGGGCGGGGCGTACGGGGGAGGCACATCGCCCTCCTTGCTAGGGTTGTAGGGGGGCGGCTGCGGAAAAGCTCCTCCTGGAGAGGCCGTGCTGCCATCTAGCGGCATCATGTTCCAGTTGGGTTGGGCCCATGCCTGCGGTTGTTGCGGGTAGGTGCCGTTAGGGGGCATGTAATAGCCGGCAGAGTACTGGTTAGTTTGGAGGGCACCCGCTGGGGCTGAAGTGAAAATATATATGGCAATAAGCACTTGTTATAATTATTCTATAACTTTTATATACTATGTTGTTTTCTTAAACTATTTATAACAATTGCGATAAGAACTTTTTATGATGATTATAAAATAATCATTAACTTTTTAAATGTTTTAAACTAATCATACCTTATATTGACTAAACATTTATGACATTAGTAGGAGTAATATGATGGATATGTGTGTGCATGGCTTCTCAAAATATGAGTTGAAATCCCCAGCCACTTAATCAGGCGGTAAATTACATATATGTGTCATTCCACAATAGATTGAACAGTTTGATCACGTCAGTCACGCACGCATTTCCCACAATATTTTCATAATTGTTCAGTATCCCTTTTACGTGCTGTTGATTTCTTTCCAGATATGAGGATACTACAGAACAGAATGAAGAACGAAAAAAAAATGGGACAAGTCAAAATTATCCAAATATTATATAAAATGCGTGCCTCACCGACTTAACTCAATGTTCACTTTTGTGTGGAAAGACCCATGTAAACAAGGGAATTAGTCTGATGTAAATGTTTATATTTGCCAGAACGACTCATTAATATAAGTCATGCGAAGATGTGATTTAGGGTGTTAACAATTGAAAAATCTGTACCTGTAGACCATTGAATATCTTACTGCATATAGGCTTATGGTATTAAAGGAAATGCTAAATTGGTTGGCAAGCGCATTAAATGAACTACCTTTAAAAGATATCTACAGTTACGTACAAAACTATCTAGGCGTAATTCCTATTTAATTGCTGTGGAGCGGTCTGATGGTCCCAAATGCCGATAAATTATTACCTCATGTGCGCGCGTGCTCCTTTAGGGTTGCGAATGTTTCCTAGTACAAGTTACTGTACAATATGAGTGTATATCAATCTTTCAGTTGACAGAATATTGACGCTTTGGACTGGTTGTGTTGCTGATGACACGTAGCGCCAACCATGAGCACATTAAAATTAATCGAATAATAACGTGCGTAGGTCTTTGCATGTATACGTGCCTGTTGTCTGAACAGTTTTTTTTCTTTTTTTTTTATGGCAATTTCCAATAGTCCATCATCGTAGTTTTTTTATTGGTCAATATTTAACGGAGCGTGCGTGTTGCAAACTCTAAATGCATGTTAGACCTTTATGCAGAAAACAGTCATGATAATAATACTTTTTTCCTGGAAATGCCAGCACCTTTGTCTTTATCACCAAGGTAAAAATCTATATATAATCCAGATTTCTGTTTTTTAACCGTCGCAAGTTGAATTCACTAGTTGATCTTCATGACGAGAGAAAGACTGGGAAGTACACACTTAAAATATCTGATTTGTAAAGAAACAGAATTTGTCAATTGTAAGGCATCTGTGTAGGAGATTTCTGGATATAGTATCTTAAAATAGTCTTTTATGGACGGATTCGATACTTTTTTCGGCTTGGCACTAGGCAAATCTAGGATGCAACACTTGCATAGTATATTCTAGGGTAGGTCTTACATCAGACATGTATATTTTCAGTATCCCATGAGACGAGAAACCCACTCTCTTTAAAATTCTTATAAAACGTATTCTCTGGCTAGCTTTTGTGTAAATGTGATGGACATGGGCTTCTCAATTCAAACCCTGGCTTATAATAACAAGAACACGACAGAATCAATTTTGTCTATCTTATGGTCAACGTGTATTGTTAAACGTCAAGTTGGAGATGCTTCTAGTGGTTTGTGTACGAGTTGTCGTTTCACAAGAAGCCCAAAACTGGTTTTATTTTAAGCAGAGTGTAACAAGAATCTCGGCCGTTTAAGCTTCGTTCGAACGCCATTACGACACGCCCTTAGATACATTGCATAAAGACGATTTTGCGCAGTTGACTATTCCAGTCTAGCAAACTTACGTTTACTACTTCCCCTTTACCCCAGAGGAGAGATTGATGTAAGTAAATAATGGAATGTTTCAACTAAGTAATAAAAATCTCAAATCCTCTTGTAAAACAACCCCGTGGTTATTTGAGCGTAAATCTATGAAGCGTGTACTTAGTTTCGCGTATAAAGGCTCTCTCACACCTAGCGTATAGAAGTTCGTATGAATATCCCATGTGAAACCTACTGTACGCACAATTTTGAGCGTATGAAATCGCCTTTTTTTCAGCTGATGTTTGAACATGCTCAAAACTTTTATCTCCCTCAGCGAACACAAACGCACACAGACGTTTGCCTGCGTACAGAAGACGTATGCGACCTAGGTCTGACAGCCCCCTTGCGTTTGTCTGGGTATGGGGAATTTTTCTCATACGCTATAGTGCTACATGTATACGCTAAGTGTGAGAGTACCTAAAGCAGTGTACTTACGGGTCACAACCGTGGCTTGTAGTTGTCGTTGTCTGTTTTGTCGGCAGCAAGCTGCAGTGCACACAGAGATGCAGGAGATGAGGATAAAGACGCCAAACCTACAGAGAGAGAGAAAAGGAAAGATACAGACCTTTAGTAAGATGCGTTAAAATATTATTAACTTCGATAGACTTAGGCAAGTTGGTCTATCAAGGTGACGTAGCCAATGTGTTAAATTATTTTATCTAATTTCCTTATTTTCTTAAAAAGCTTGAGGTAAATCTTGAAGGGAAAATTATATGAAACTGCTCAGCAGATGCCTATCAGTGCACGTTTCTTTCAAATGAACATATCCATGGAAATTAAACATAAAAATTAACACATTGTATCCACCTCGATGCCAGTACCATTCAGAATCCCACGTATATATAGGGTCCTCCACGCGGGTTAGATAATGAACAATACCAGCAAAAAAAGGCACATTCAAAACTGGTCGAAACAGTCTAAGTGACGTCATCGCTCATTGGCTTAGTAACCATGATGTCATTGAGACTTTTTCCACGTTGGCTTAGATCAGCCTCACTGAGTTTTTGAGCCATGGCACAGCATTTTTCAATTTTTCTTCTTTTGTCTACAACCCACGTGTGTTTTCATCGAACGTGGTAATTTTGCTTCATGTGAAGCACCGTGACGGATTGAATGCACGATTTTCTGAAGATATTCTGAGAAATGTCAAACGGTATCCTCATTAACAGATACTTGCGAAATACTGTGAAGTGGCTCTTCCTCAGTCGTTACATATGTGCGTGTGTGTTTTACGTGCAGCACGCTATTTTCTATGCTGTTCATGGCGACATCAAGTAAAATATGAACGCCTCATTTCATCCAAACAAAGCGGACAGCACAACATTTGGACGCCAAGGCAATCTCACCTTTGAAAGCCATCTCGTCAAAATATTATTCACACACCACAAAAAAAAAAAAAAAAAAAAAGAAAAAACGTTTACAGCATTGTGTTAAAATCGTTTGATGTGTCAGTTTTTGAAATATATGTTAAAATGCACATCGTAATGTTTATAAATATGATTTATTAATAATTGATTTCTCTCCAAAAAAAATTTTGATCTAAAATTTGCATTTTAATACGGTTATATAACATTCGGGAATATCAAGAAAAAATACTTAGAAAATAGTATGCCGCATTAAAGACACACGCGCATATATTGCCCCTTTCACACCTCCCAGTAGTAAACTCACAGGACATGTAACACATATTTATCGTATCTCTGTTGGTGCCTCCGTGATCCCTTCGTTCCTGTCGACACCTTCGACCGCATATTGCAGTCAGTGTCAAACATATACATATAGAGAACAGGGCAAGCCTGAAACGGAACGGTATTAGGGGGACTAATCATGTATGTGTTCACATGTATTACCTGAAATGTAAAAGCACGTATTACCAATGCACTTGACGTAACTGTTGTCTTTTAATTATTGTTCATAGTATTTGTGTTATCATATGAATATATATATTATGCATATCATTTGTAATAGGCCTATATTACGCATTGTGTTATGTAAAGTGCTTTCAGCTGGTCCATTTAACACTTTTAAGAGGTGTTTATTACTCATATTACATAGTACTAGTAATGCATGGGGCACTTGTTCAGGCTTCAGGTTTTCTGCTTTCAACAATCAGATAGTTGGAGTTGTATTTCACTCGCAGAAGGATGAAGACGAACGTAGAACGCACTGACGTTTATCAAATATTCATTGACCCAAATTGAGAAAAAAAATTGTATATCAAAATCTGATGCAGAGTGAACCTTTTTTGGTCATAATGTCGGTTATTTCGATTCTTATGGCCTTCTTGACCTATAGTAATCCACATTTAAATAAAGTAAGAATAGGACGTGAGGTAGCCTATTAGTTAAAGTAGGCTAAATATGCCATTATATTGGGCCACTGCCGATTTATCCTAACAAATAAGACTAAGTATTTGGTCAAAAAGATTTGACTAATTTTCCGGCTAAAATCATTTAGTGAGGCAGGCCACTTTAAATATTTTCCAATGAAATGTAAACATTAATATCTCGTTGTCAACTCACCAAAGGTACCACCATGTATACCAGCAACCGCCATAATAATAACAACTGTAGGCTTCACACACCTGGAAATAAATACAGAAACACGTCAAGAAACAGATAGATGGATAGAATTAATAAATAAATGAATAAAAAAGAAGCAATCACTCAAATAAATAACACAATATATAAATAAATTAATTAATTAATTAACGAAAAAAACATAAAAAAAATATTGGATGAATAAATGAATAAATCAATGGTTACAAAAATAAATAAATAAATAAATTAATAAATACAGAAATAAATAAATAAATAAATAAATATGAAAAAAAAAACAGTTTAATAACATCCAGTGCATATGACAAATAAACATTCCTGGGCACATTCAAAACATTAAAGTAGGCCTCCTTTAACGTATTTAATGTTTATCTCCACTAACCAGTCATTGGCGTGATATGCTTGTATTCTGTTTGAAGATTTGAAAGATTAGAAAACTTTTAGATTCTCCCGTTCTCAATATTGAGAATACTTAATAAGTGGTGTTATTGTGAAGAGATAGTATGTCTTTTAGACAGTAGTCCAACTTTCACACACACACACACACGCACGCACGCAAACACGTGCCCACACACATCTGCCACAATTATTCATTGTAAAACTCTCCGACGTACTGCATTTCTGAAGACAAAAACATGCGTTTTTCTGTACATAACCACCTGCGTCCATCTGACCTACTGTATCTCTCCATTACCGTCTTCAAAACAAGTATCAATGTGAAGAGCAGGGTGTAAAATGAAACGACTATTGCATGGTAAAACGACACTTTCAAGACTTCATGGAGACGCCATCTTCATCACGGTATAAATCTGATGACATTTTTCCTGGGTAACATTCTCTCTATTTTAATTGTGTTTTCTCATGATTGGGCCATGATTATGTTTTTATCCGGCTCAAGATTGACGCTAATAATTTCTCGAAGCAGGCTTCAGTAGCGTCAAGGGTTAAGATGTAATTTTACTGTGGCGTCACGCCATTATTAGTTTCACAATGAGAAACGCAGAAAATTTCTTATATAATGTGTCTGGGGAAGACATTTAGCAAGTCATCATTGCTGAGATTTTTTCATCGCCGTCTTAACAGTACAGTAAAAACTGTTGAAGCCTAGAGGAGCTCGTGTGTCTTATTTCTCGGACAGTTCCATAATCTGATGGGCAATAGCTCAGCATATATGTACGTGTGACACACACACCTATACACGCACACAATCATACACGCGCACACATACACACACATACATGCGTGCGCACACATATATACTCACGCAGTAAATTTCTATTCACTTTAACAGATTTCACCAACATTTATGTCCAAAATAATTATCCGTTTATCACCCTCAGATTCACGTTCTCGGTGGCTGTTTAATTTGAATTTGCGCAGAGCGCTACCGCATTATTCCCTATTTTTCACATATTTTTTATGGCTGGTGATATTTTGATTACGCTTTTTATGCATTCACTTATCTGCACATTTGTCTGTCTGTCTGTCTGTCTGTTTGTTCATTTAGCTGTCCGAATAACCATTCCACGACATAAGCTATAATGTATTTACCTACATTACTTACCCGTGTTCCTAATCATTCGTCTATCCTTCCTTCCATCCATCCATGTACACACACACACACACACACACACACACACACACACACACATACACACACACATACACACACACACACACATACACACACACACACACACACACCACATCATTAGACAAATTTATCATTCATTCATTCCATAATTATTCTACCCATGTATCTTCAATCAAAGGGATATGGCTACAAAAACTGTATCAAGCTTAAACAAAGTAAGGTTGGTAATAACCTCCCCACCCCTTCGCCCCTAAGTTACAAACTAGAAAGGACAAGGTCTGTTTTACGTGAACTATGGCCCGCAAGTCGGTTTAACCTTATACACCAAAACTTTTAGTCTACTAAGTCGCGACATGAAATAGCAGCTATCTTTTCAAATGAATTACAACTCCTGTTCGATACCAAGAATAATAAGTATAATATTAGATCTATAATAACTCCATTCTATTCGTCACCTATTTAGTATACCAACTATTGGTTTAAAAAGCGACATTTAATTGAGTACGTGTGCACCAGGATCGACCAAGTGCTTTAAAGCAGCCCGAGTAAACCTGACTGCAACTGAATATAAATATCAGTCTATAAACTGGTCTGTTTTAGGGCACGCATGACGGTTGGGTAATTTATTGCGTGGCATTGCTAGATAAGACTGTTTAAACAATGAAGAGACTATATATATATAAAGTACCTACTGGTCCATACACGGTGACTACTTCATTAGTTTGTGAACTTCCGCTGATAACGACTTTTAAAATTCTTTTTACTTATTCTACGTATGTGAATAAAGACATGCGCCGCTATTAGAGAACCGGTTTTGGGAGTTTATTTCGCGATAACTCGCTGATGAAATGAAGTCGTGCAGATAACTGCCAATGCACCGGTAATGTGGTGAGCTCAAATAAATGCTACGTCTTTATTGTGCATACACGGGAAAACATTATATATAAATCTGCATTGAAATATGGCAGAACTGTCTGCTTCTTTTTTTTCCGAGAAAATGTTTTAAATAGTGCAGTCACACATCCAATGCCTCCCTCCACATTGGCTATGTAAGGTATCAGTGTGGCTGGATAAAATACTTTATTTTTTATCATCACAGTTCAAATGAGAGCTCATGTGACATTAAAGACCGTCAAATTTTGGAAGAAAACATCTTTATTGATGTATCCCTCACATTGCTCTGTGAATATGCTTTGTATAGCGAATCCCGTCCATTCAAGGGTCGCCGATGGGTTTATAGCCTGCGACCTGCAATTAACGGTTCCCCATCCCCCACCCTCCTTTAAAACAAACACACACACACACACGCGCGCGCGCGCACACGTGAGACATACATGGGGAGAAACTAGTCAATTCCGACCAATGACCTGTTTGTAGGTCATTGAACACACGAATTCAGGTGTTTTATAATATCGTGGCTTGACACGTGAATAAAAATCGCTGCATCATCCCAATTCCCTTCAAAACCATAAGCCATCTCCACTCCGTTTGTATACTATTTACCCAAACGGCTGTACACACAGGAGACCGCAAACCAACGTAGGGATTCAAAATTCAGAAAATGAAACCTAAAAATTTTCATGGCGCCCTTAACAATGTCAGTTTGCGCAAACAAACACTGCTAAGTTTCAAGGACGTTTTGGAACCACCTTTGTCACTCGCTTAGGTCGACTAAAATGGCACGTGTCTTACTTGCACGTTCTCTTTATATTTATTGACTGAAAGTCATGTTCTATCATTTCAAGGTTTTCTGTACGGGGATTTCGCACCAAACATACTTTTTCTCGAGGAAAAAAGCCGTTTTCCCTGCTCACGCATCATTGTTCGAGCCATTCATGCACTTGGCTTTGTTGTTCTAACCACATATCTCAGTTGTTCATCGATTTATTTGGACCGCATATGTCTTCTTGACATTTCAGAAGGAATTGTCCACATTTCCATTTTTCGCCCAGCTACACAATCCCTTAATTCTCTCTACACGAAACCAGCTGCGTGGTGACGTCACTGACGTGCAAAATCCTTACTAATACAGAACAGTGCGCAGAATTAGCAAGGTATCCAGTGACAATTAATCTGAGGCCTTGATAAAGGATTCCAGGCCCGTAGCCAGGGGGGGTTCGAAAGAACCACCCTTTTTGGTGGGAAAAGGTCCATTCTGGGTAAAATTTGACCTATGTACTTGAGGATTTTATGGTAAAAGGTCCACTTTTTCAGAAAACGAACCCCCCCCCCTCTGAAATTGCTGGCTACGGGCCTGGATTCACACCTCTGGTAGAGAAGAGTCTTCCGTGCCCCATGACCACACCCCGTGACAGGCACCGACTTTCCCTTGTGCACTTGTTCCTCAACAACTGCCTTGTAAGGTTAGTAATTGACAGCCATGAGTTAATAAGGAGCGAGGAGAGTTTTGTAGAGGAACTGAGTTAAATTGACATGCTCTTATGATACTTATACAACAATAATGTAAACTAGAGAGAAGGCCGATAGAGATTGAATGAAGAAGAGATAGAAATGGGAAGAAGGCGGAGCGGGAACCAACTGGAAAGTAGTTAATAGATAACTTGAAAAAATATAAAAAAGTTGTATTTACTAACTCGCGTAACAGCAAAAGATAAAGAACAATACAACTTCGTCACAGACTCAACTTAACGGACCTGAACAATCGTGACGTCGCACTGTTATAAATAGCAAATTGTCATACAATGCTATCCAGGAAGTAAATTAAATCACGTTGTTCATATTATTTTCAATGACTCTGAAAATATACAGACATAGATTGGTAAGCTGGTACTTATTAAATGTCACGGGTGAAGTCAACGTGGTTTTGCAACGCTCCTCATACATATCATTGATAAATGACGGGCCCGAGACGGAGGGGTGGGGGCGGGGGGGCTAACCCTTTAAGCTAACGACCAACACTGTTTTTACACGGAAGTAGGAAAAGGCAATGGGTAAAATGTCGCACCCTGCGTAGTAAACTTTTTTTGACTGCGATATATAAAAGCTGACAGTGATATCCAATATCCAGGCAGTGTTATTTGGATGACTGCAGATTCTTCACATACCGCGCGGTAGTAGCCATTGTTGTCACTGGTACTACTGTTTTTTTGCGTATACAATTTGGAGACATGCACCCATAACACTGGCGGGTCTAAGATACAGATAATGGTCTGTGTGTTGGGGAATCCCAACCCTACCCAAAAAGCCCACTAGTATGGGAATTTTGGTGGGTTCGAGCGTTTTTCAGCACTTCCGTGAACAGTGGGTCAGTCGTTTTAGATCTTCAAACTCTGTTGGTAGAGAAGGGATTCAAACTAACGCTTTTTTTTTCTTAGAAAATACAGGTGTTGGGGTGGGGATGAAGGGGGGGGGGCAAGTACCTGAGCCATGCCTGTTATTCTGATACCGTCATTTCTTTCATTTGTCATCACTCGCTTATTCGAAGCTGTTACTAATAAAGTCACTTAAAAAAGAGATACCAAATTTTTAAAAATCTTAGTGTTTCACGGAGAAATATGGACTCAGAAGCAAGTCTCGCCTGCTTTCTGTTTTAGCAGATCGTGAGCCAAGTCAATATAAAACCTTTACCACTCTCGCGTTTCAATAACTAACATTTACAACGATCGATAAATCAGTTCAGGTGTTTATTAGACTGTACTTGTTAAATTAGCAGATTGTGTAACCGTCATTTTTCAGAAATATGGCTGTATTGTGTTGAATACGCGTCTTTGCTTTTAAAACTAAATTTTATGTACGAATATCGTTTCAACATATTAATTCCAATCCACTTTCAAGGTTTTAGAACCATCTAAAATCTACCATTTTATATGTACGGTAATTATATTACTATGCTGAAAAGTCCGCTGATCATCTCATAGGTTGTACTCTATTTAAAACGTTTATATTGTATTTCAAACATAAGCATTGACTATTTCAGTAATCTTTTTTATTCGTCTGTGATCATGGGTTCAATATTACTATTTTAGTCACTGTCACAACTCAACACTAAATAGAGCCAATACACCCATAGACGTATCAGGTTAAGAAAAAATAGACCAGAATAACACAATATAGTTATCATAATAAAAAAAAAACGTACACAAGAGCCCCATTAATTGGGCGTGCGTAAAAAAAAGAAAACTTCACATATCTAAGAATTCTTCTAGCTCAGTGCATCTTAAAACGGCAAATTATTACAGGCCTTTGTCGACGGCTTCAGTTTCTCGTGTACATATTACGTGGTTAGGGGTGCGTATATCTGCCGAGAGGATGTTAAACTATGTACACAACACACTGCAAATATACATAACTGAGAATGTGGTTGTACAGTATATCAGCAGTCATACATCGTAGGCCTACATATTTCTCATCGGCCATGTTCGAAGTTTGTACAGTAGGCCTATAGTTCGCTTTGCTATAGTCTGTGACGTTGGGTGAAAATGCTCGTACTACCATACAAAAAGGCGGTGAAAAGGGGGGTAGTTACAACTACTGAATACATCTCAGCTATCAGACGCACCGAATAAGGCATACGTACCTGTAATAATGTCGCTAAAAGTATCACAGTTAGACTTCCCTTGTCTGCCATTTTGTCGTGTGTTGTGGTATGTGAGGTGAGGAACAGAACGTCAGTTTTGTAATCTACCTGGCGTGTGACCCGTGACGTTGGTAGCTAATCTGATGCCGAGCGCACTGGGATAATATATCCTGTATTGTGACTGTTGACAGAGAGAGCGCTTAGAAAGTTCGTGACTTGTTAGATTAAGCCGACGTCGAAGTGCTCTTGAGAGAAGTCAACTCGATTCTCCGCAGTCTGAGATTTTAGCGCTTACTCCTATTTATAGAAGCGTTTCATATAAAACGCTGTTTCGCCTACTGTGAAAATGTCTTCAGCTAAAGATGTGCATTGTGAAAGAATGCGGTGACCCGGATATGGGCGAATATTTGGGGCACCGTGTCTTAATGCATGGGTTGATAAGCAGAAAGGGTGACCTAGTTAAATTTGTAAGGGCCGTCGTTTTGCGAGATCGGCTCGTCGGGAAGAACAGTCTATTTATACAGGTGAAAAAAAGAAGTCTGTTTTTGATTTTTTTAAGTCACAGAACTTTCCACAACTGGATTTTAATTTTCCATAAAAAATTTGTTGCATCATCAAGTTTTTATTTTAAAAAAAAATGAAAAAATCTTGTAAAAACCATTTTCTCATAAGTGTTAGACTCACCCCTTAAGAAATAGACACTTTCTCTTTTGAGAGCTTTAGTTATCTTAGTTTTTCTACGATGTCCGTACAAATTTGAAAATAAGCACCTTTACGTCGATTTCTTGAAAGACGAGTACACGTACATTGCATACGATTTCATCAATGAAAAACGTTTGCATTATTTTAATGTCCACGACCATACTGAAATCATCTCATTTCGGTAGTAATCCACGACACTACGCGCTTCAAATTCCCTGTTAACGTTTGATCATTTTTCCGATTATTTGGGGTTTACTAAGCTGTAATCAGCTAATGTGGAAATATGCTCTTCTTCGATCGTAAAATCCTTTCCTTCTGCACTTTCGTTTTCTTTTTTTTTTACATTTTTTCTTTTTGAGAGAGAGAGAGAGAGAGAGAGAGAGAGAAAAGGAGAGATGCACAACACTTCATTCGCTCTGGTTAGTATTAATTTTATTTCAAATAAAATGTACCAGAAAATGTCAGTCAATGTTTGATCAAAATTTGGTCTTTCATTACTGTCTTTATGACTTCACACAGCACAAACCAGCTGTCATTTCAAAATCTCCCAACTGTAAAAAATAAAAAAAAAAAAACGGAGGGGTGGTCCAACATTCTTGTCTCAGCCACCCACCCCTCCAACCTATGACTTGCAAGTGAGAGTACACTGTTTACGGTACCATAAAAACTGAATTCTTTCCAGCATGATGAAAAATCTTTTTGTCAGTAGTTTGGATCTGTTCAAGTGATTACATGACTGCTGACAGTGTCAACTGTCCATCCACCAGAGACTAGCAGCACCCCATACAGCATCTCTAGCTGCTTTTATCCTGAAATGACAGTGTCAACTGTCCATCCACCAGAGACTAGCAGCATCTCAATACAGGACCTCTAGCTGCCTTTATCCTGAAATGACAG